CCCGCCCCTCCTTGCAGAGCCGTCGAGGGGAGCGGGTGCTGCGAGTCCAAAGCCAAGAAGCGCAGGGGCGGGAGGAGGGGGGAAGCGGGGACCGTTTGGGAAAGCGGTGGCGACTCCTGCCCCGCGGAGGCTCCCGGTTTCGGGAAGGGAGGCGGGAGCCTTGGGGAGCGACGGGGAGTCCTTGCCCGCCAGGGATGCTCGGAAAGGGCCAGGAAAACGGCCCCTCTCCGGCCTCGCTTCCCCGCATCCTTGGAAGCCCTTCGTCCTCCAGCGATGCCTGGCGTCGGCGGGACCCGGGTTGTTCATTCGCCCCGACTTTGTTTGTTTGTTTATTTGTTTGTTTTTGTTTTGTTTTGTTTGGGGGGGGTGCGGGGGGTGGCAGTGACGGATAGATGTTTCCAGCTGCTTCCACCGGCAGGGGGGGAGAGGCCCGTCTGAGCAGCGGATTTTCTGTTTTTGTTGTTCTTTCTTTCTTTCTTTCTTAAACGCTTGTAAACGCTTTTCTCCCCGAACGAGCCCTTACCAAAGACTGACCACTAACTAATGCGCTGGTGGCTTGCGGGCAGCGGGGCTCTCCTGGTCCTTTTCGTTTCACGCGGTCGCCTTGGCCCCGGTGTTTCTGAAGACAGAGGTGATCTCTGCCCTCTCGCCCTCTCCAAGCGCGGCCACATCCAGGGATGAAGGAATTACCTTTTCACTGGCAATCGAGCAAGTGGCCTGAGTTTAGCCGCTAGGAAACGTGCTTCCTCTCTGCACCCTCGGGGAGGGGAGTTTGTGAAAAATCTCCACTTTCCTGACCTCTTTCCATCCCCAGCCGAGGACAGAAATAAGTCAGGTGTAGGGCTCAGCATGCCAAGCTCAGCATCCCAAGCTCAGCATCGAGGGCGAGGGGGTGGCAGCGGGCCCCTAAGGAACTGCCCGATCTCGAGCAAGCAGATACGTTCTCGAGAAAGTGAGCAGGGCTGTAAAGGGAAAGCCATAATTTTCCCTCACCTGTAATTTGATTATTATTGTTGCTGTTATTATTACTATTTTTCTCTTCGAAAGGAATCTTCCGCCCTTCTGGGCTGCAGTACGGGAGACCTCTGTGTGCGAGTGTAGGACTGTATGGGCACATAGGCATCCGCGTATGGGTGCGTGTCTGTGTGCCACAAAAATAAGAAAAAAAAAATGAGAGAAAAATAAAAGAGGAAAAAAAAAGTGCAAGAATTCTGAAAATAAAAACACTGGGAAGGTTTTAGGGTGGCTTGAAGGCACGACTCAATTGTACGCAAAATGCCCAGAACCTTTTGGTTGTTGTTATTACTAATAATAATTATTATCAGAAAGGAAAATGAAATTACTTTTTTTTTCCCGAGTGACTGATGAAAAAAAATGAATAAATCTCGTAACGATCACAGCTTCATGAATTGGCTCCGCGTTTTCTTTCTGCGCCCCTAAGGCCTAGGAGCCTGGGCCCCGCCGGGCTGCTATCAGCTAGAGGCGCTGGGGCTCGGATTTAGGAGGAAGATCAGCGTGCAAACGCGAGGTGCAAGAATATATTCTGTAACAGGAAAAAAAAATCTAATAATAATAATAATAATAAACTCTCCAAAAACGTGATATCAGAGGTTTGCTCTCAGTCTGTCCGGCCGAATCATCGGGCTTGGTTCTGTTTCAAACGTTTTCCTCGAGCGAGGAGGTGAAATGAAGAGCCGGGGTACTTAGTGGCTCTTACTGGCTGGGCTATTTCTGCTCTGCCCGGCTTATGGGCAAGCAAAGCCCCGTTCCGCTCAGCCCCTTGCGCCGCGCAGGAAGGGAGTGGGGGGCGCCGCGGCTGCCCGGGGTGTGAACCCGCGTGTTTCTTGCCCACTACAGAGGGGGAAGTCGATTTTTTGCAGAAAACTTGTCCACGGGCTTTGCCTGGCTGGTGGCTGTAAAATCGGGGCTGTCTCTGCCTTTGCCTCTCCACCGCTACTCCATGAAGAGCTAAAGAAACGCTTGAGAGGCAGTTGGTTGAGAGCAAACTTTGATTCCTTCTACAACAGATGTCAGAGTTTTCTTGGGTTTTGGCTGCGTCTGGGGACATCTTGTGATGTTTTAGAGAACAGGACATGATCTCACATGGTGAGAAGCTCTTTAGTTTCTTAATCATTTCACGGTTCCTTCAGAGGCTTTTTTTCCACCTAAAACGTTTAGTTTCAGCTCAGTGATCAGCTGCAAAAGCTCGGCGGGGAGCGGAAGAGTTGAATTATTCCAACCTGCGAAGAGCCCCGAAAAGAAAAAGAAAAGAAAAGAAAAAGGGAAACGAAAAGAACAGAAAAGAAAAGAAAGGAAAAGAAAGGAAAATAAAAGAAAGGAAAAGAAAAGAAAAAAAGAAAAGGAGAAGAGGAAAGCCAACAATAACACGAAGTGGAAACTTTTTTTTCTCTCTCCCTGTCCATTTCACCAAATCCTGAAAAAGCAGAATGGAATTAGAGAAAAGCTTCGCGGCCCCCAGGAGCGGCCGAGCAGGTAGGACCCGCACCGGGGGGCTGCGGGCGGCCGCGCTCCCTGCGCAGGGCGCTGCGGGCCGGGCAGGACGGGGGAGGCGGCGGAGGGGGCACGCTCGGCCCCACGCCGTCCCGCTGTCGCGCGTGGGGCACCGCAGGCCGCGCTACCAGCCGGGCGCTGCTTTCGGCGGGAAACGAAGGCGCCTCTCGGTGAGCGCCGAGGCGCTTGCGGGCCCGGGGGGCTGC